AGTTTTTTACTTAGAAACTTCTGAACCTACAGGCTTTTGGGGTTATGGAGAACACTTGCTACTTGCAAGTAAATAATAATCAACTAAACAGACTCAAATTCTTTCTGAATAAAGTAAGATGCTGAAATGCATCTTACAGTAAGAGAGCATCAAGACACAAAATCAATCAATCAGACTCTGAAAGTCCTATTTGGCTATTGTAGTTTGGGAAGTCTAGCTTTCTCATGACAGTGCAGAGAGAGACTATTTGTGAGACCTAAGAGAAAAGTTTTTGTGAGAAGTGTCTGAGTGGCAGGGAGTGACTCTGTAGGAGTCTTTCAGTCTCCTGCATGGAGTTGCAACAGTACCAATGTCAGGAACCTCCTGACATTTTCTGAGGAATAGTTTGTCCTTCCAAGTAGAACAAAACCTGTATTTTGTCCCTGTGTAAGACAGTGAAAAGATCAGAAGAAAAAAGAGCTTTCACAAATATGTATGGCAGTGATTTCCTAACACACAAGGTGAGGAAAAGACAGCACTGACATTTTACATGGACCCTGGCACCTGCTACAACTGAGCACCGTAAAGCATTTTTTCCCTTGATCCTCAACACAAGGTGTTTCAGGAGACTTATTTGTTCTTTTCCTTTGTCATTTACTTAAATAAATCCTCATCAGCTTCAGTGACTCATTTGCCCCCAAGAGCATGGCTCTGCTGCCAACAAAAGAAGATTCCAAGATTAGAAAACTAGCGTCTCACTTAGAGAAAATCCCACTGGTAGTTTACCTGCCATTGCTTTGCCTGAGGACACTTAAGTGTCTGATAGATGCAGTAACTGAGTTTTACTTGGGTTGTAGCCAGTTTTCACAAGCAGAGCACTTCCTTTGCTCTTGCACACCCATGTGGTCAGTTGTGTATTTCGGGTGGTCCTGTGGGGATTTCAGAGGTGTGTATGAGAAGCTTAACCTAGTACTCCCCCAAACCCCTTAGCACTATGTCTTGGCCTAGTAATGAGCTGCAAAGTTAGTCTGGTGCCTTGGAGAACTGATGGAGCACTAGTTGGGATGCCAGTGAAAGCCTTCGGTCTCTAATGTTAATAGGTGAGCTTTTCTGGGTGGTCCACCTGCCTTCCTACTGTTGACTCTCAGCAAAGAGCCTGCATCCCTGCACAACTCCCCATCTGCTTTTGGGTGGCCTGGTTTTTGCTATGGAAAAAATGGAGCTGGGTAGGTACAGAACCTTCTGCTCTGGAAATCTGTCACTATTCTTTTAGAGCTGTGCACCATTAGTCTGGTGAGCAGCGACAAAGGAGGAAAATGACAACAGTAATTTGGAAGCAGAGAGAAGCAACTGCTTGCAGGCATTGGCAAGATGTAAGTATCTTTTACTTGGATGAGGCTACAGCAAAATGAGTTCAGTGAAGCTGAAGGAGATGTTGCCAGCGGGAGGAGGAGTGGAATTGGGAAAATAGATGCTGTGTATACTGTGATTATTATTTACTCTGTGAGGAAGCGTGAAAAATACTACACAGAACAGATGCAAGAAGGTGCCAAAAAGACAGTTATTTCGTGATGGATATGTTAAAAAAAAATAAAGGTAGAAATAGATGAAGAGTGGAGAAACTCTACATCCTTACTTGGATGGAGGCATTAGAAAATACCATTATAAGACAGCATCAGAATGAAACTGAAGAAATTCCTTAGAACGCTAAAGACTGAAATGCCATTTATTTAAAGTACAGCACCAAGCTATTTTGTGTATGGTCTGTCGCATGTTTTGAGTTAGACTTAGGTTTTGATTTATATGGACCTAAATGGACTTAAGTTTTGAGTTGAAATGCCCTGGTGAGACCGCATCTGGAATATTGCATCCAGTTCTGGGCCCTTCAGTTCAAGAAGGACAGGGAACTGCTGGAGAGAGTCCAGCGTAGGGCTACAAAGATGATCAAGGGAGTGGAGCATCTCCCTTATGAGGAGCGGCTGAGGGAGCTGGGTCTCTTTAGTTTGCAGAAGAGGAGACTGAGGGGAGACCTCATTCATGTTTATAAATATTTAAAGGGTGAGTGTCACGAGGATGGAGCCAGGCTCTTCTCGGTGACAAACAATGATAGGACAAGAGGTAGTGGGCACAAGCTGGAACACAGGAGGTTCCACTTAAATTTGAGAAGAAACTTCTTCTCAGTGAGGGTGACAGAGCACTGGACCAGGCTGCCCAGAGAGGTTGTGGAGTCTCCTTCTCTGGAGACATTCAAAACCCACCTGGACGCCTTCCTGTGCAACCTCATCTAGGTGTTCCTGCTCCGGCAGGGGGATTGGACTAGATGATCTTTTGAGGTCCCTTCCAATCCCTAACGTTCTGTGATTCTGTGATTCTGTGAAATGTCAATTCTGAGGCTGCTGGGGTAGTCCCTCATCTTTCAAATATACTTAGAGAACATTTTGTGTTAGTGCAGTGGGTAGCCCTTAACTTTTGAAGTCCTCAGCATCTATACCTTAAGTGTAGTATAGAAAAAACAAAGGTGAAAACATAATAGTAACTGCTAGAGATATAAAGAATGGTGTACTTTCATTATTTTTAGATAGCTACATTTGAGTTATGGCCATTGGACTGCTGGATAATGATCAGCTGATTTTCTGACAGATGTCCTAGATTTGTCTCTGCATGCTTTTTTAATCAACCGCATAAATCAAAATTCATGTACATGGAAGTGTGTCAGCCTGTGGACTTCATCATCTTCCTGGGTTGTCTATTATTATGCAATGAAGGGAGATTACATCAAGGGAGAAAGAGATGAGCTGGAGAGGAAGGGGAGGGCATCTGAAACAAGCACATAAAGTGGGTAAGATGAACTGTACTAGAGAAGAGAGTAGTTTCATACAGCATGAGTTGTAGAGTAACAGTTTACAAAAGTAACCATTTAAGGACCAAAACATATATGCAGGAGAGAAGAGAGAAAACAAAAAAAGTCCACAAGACAGGTTTGAGAAAACCTTTGGAGTATTTTGACATTCATGTCATTCTGCAGATCTTTACGTGAACAGCAGTCAGCTCACAACACTGTATTTGTCTCACCAGCTAAATGGCTGAAATTAAATGGGCAGGAAGTGCAGCAGCACTGGTATTTTGGCACTGGGAACAAATATTAACAGCTCTACTAAACAAAAGGAGATCCTGAGTATTTTGTGTTCTGAAGTGTAATTTAGTTGCTCTGATGAGCATGTGGAGAAATTTATTTAGGACACCTACAGTTAAGTGAATATGAACACCCACAAAAAGCCATGAGACTGCGTCTGTAAATATGGATTCATTCTCTTTATTTTGATATTTCTTGCCAAGTACTGACCTCACCCATTTTAATGAATATATAGTATAATGCTATATCTAATCAAGAATGTTGATACACATACTTCGTATATTTTCTCAAAGTTGACTTCTTCAACGTACATGCATAGTTTGCTGCTTATGGAAAAGATTCATTTTGACTTGAGTTGACTAATTTCATGCAAGACAGGAACTTTCTGCTAAATCTCCAGGTCAGAACTTTCAGTTGCCGACTTTGGTTAAAGAAAGTGGTTTATTTGCATGTTAAAGTCTTCTTTCAGACTTGAAGATTTTACTCATGCCTTCATTGCTTGCTAGGAAGGATTAATTTATGTTATTACAAAGTATTTAGAGATCCAAAGAAGATTAAAAATATTCATTCTTCTTGGAGTGACACAGCTGAAAGGCACTTTGAGGGAGAAAAAATGTTCTTTGTGCTGGAAATGCCAGGTCAGCATCAGTAATCAAATTTCTGCCCTTCCTCTCTTGCACATCAGAGCAAGTCATGTTTGATCATGTTTGCTCTTTGCTTCTTATACGAACAACATTAAAATGATTGAGACTTTCCTTATCCAGTGTATAATTCTAAATACAGCCAGTTGTCAACCCAAAGCTGACAGCCTTCCATCAGATTGGTCTCCAGCCCCATCTATATCCATTCCCACACAAACACTGACCGTATTTACACAAAGAGACAACATTCCTCTTCCCACATTGCACACAGAACTGCATTCATATAGAGCAAGTAAATATTGTTTTTAATTGAACAATTAATGTCTAATGATTAGAAATTACTTTGTTAATTATCAAAAATTATTGTGTACAATTCTGGTATGATTGTTACTAATGGAGTTACTAATGGCAGTTCTCACACACTATCCCTGTGTGCTGCTTACAGCTAAGTGTCACTTCCTTCTGCTCTGGGTGTTCTCATGTAAGCTGGTGCCCTGGGCTGTGATCCTGCAAACACCTCTGTGCCTGATCCAGAGCCCATCTTGGTCAGCAGGAGTTTTCCTATTCAATTCAATAAGCTTTGAGACAGGGATCGAGGGAGCAGAGTACTGTTGGTTCTATTACTTCCAGTATTCAATTATTTTTTAAAGTCACATGCACAAGCAGAGGTTAAACCAAGCTATCGAGGAGCAGAGGAAAACAAATGGTTTGATATCTGCAGGATAAAGAAATTCTATGAAGAGTTTCAATCTGTTTTTTGAGAGGTCTTTTTTGTATAATTTGTTCCTCTGTGAAAGAAGTTTGTTCTAACGATTCTAAATGAGAATCTAAACAAGACTCATAATGAAGAAAACATGCTTTGCTTCACAGAGACAGCATGATGAAACAGATTGTCTGTTCCCTTCCGAGTGGTTGTATGGCAAAACCACTTAAAAAAAGGGATCAGGTTGTAAAGAGACACATGAGTGGCTGGCAGAAAGGGCTGGTGCTGACCCTATCCACAGGTTTCTTGAAGGTACAGAGCTGTTTGATGTGCCAGTCTGATGTGCAAATGGCAACATAAGGAAATGCAGAGAGATTCTTTTATCTTCTGGGGCACAAATAAAGCTGAAGCACTTAGCGTTGAAATACATGGCCTTTAGTAACAAAAGGCCTACTGGATAAAGTCTGTGGTTATTGTATTGCTGAGCAGGTGATTAGCATCCATCCAGGCTACAGCTGTTTTCTTTTTATGTTTGTTCTGTATGCAGATGTTGCTATGAGGAAAGGAGTCAGCAATGACTGATGTGGAGCCTGTGGTCACAGATTTTGCTGCATCGGGACGGGCAGGGCGCCGAAACGCCTTACCAGATATTCTGGGCTCTCCTGCTGGTGCTGGGACTTCAGACCTGCCACACAAACTGGCTGAGCTCTCCGTTTCTGAAGGTAATGGCTGCACATTCAAGAAACAGACATTTTTATGCAGTCGTCCTTTTGCTTTCTCTTTAAGAATTCTGCCACCATGCAGTTTTGATGTCAATACTAATATTTCTTTCTTCATTTAGGATTAAGTTCAACCTTCCAAAGCAGTTACCACTTGTACCTCCTAATAAGACAAGTTAATTGTAACCCAGATTGAGTCTGCCATATTCACCTACAGATTCAGTGTTCAGCAGCCTGGGGAAAGGTGCTGGGAAGTGAATTTCAGTTCCCCTGAGGAAGAGCAAACACATTTGCATTGCTGAGCACTTGGAAAACCATCACTCCAGCTATAAATTAGGGCCTACTCCTGCACTGAGATAACTTAGCGCAAGACAGCAAGCTGCACTATTAATCCAATTACAACTATTCTAACTCAGGCATATACATTAAGAGCAGGGTTTAAAGTGATGTACTCCTGCTAAGGATTTCAACTTTGCTGTCTGAGAGCAGTGTCCTATTTTGCGGTGTCATTTAATTTTATAAGGTGCTCTGTTGATTTACCATGTGTCTAATCAACACCAGCTTTACATTTGAGTTTTTACTTTCAAGGGGATTTCAGGATTTGCAGATTCAGAAAGATCTGGTTTCTAATGCCTATGAAGTGAAAATTATAGGTTGGCCCTGAGCATGGGTTACCCCTACTTTTTTAGGTTCTGATTTGGAAGTAGCTTTCTCTTCTCATGCCAATCACTGTTGCTTCTGTGACAAATCCCACTGCATCTGGAGGTCCCACATCCGGGAGCAGTGATGGTGTGGCTGTAGCTCAGCGGGAGGCAGGCCTGTGCTGAGGAGTGGAAGGCACATGAATCTGAACTGAAGTAGATTATAGGAGACTTCGAGGATGCAGGTCCTGCATGTATGTTGCCCAAAGCAATTACAGGATGTTGATCTTATGGCCTCCTAAAGCACCATAAAGACTAGGGCGCAGGAGGGAGGTTTCCTTTGTTTACCAATTGTTCTTACTTTGGTGATTTAATTTATATTCTTGTATTGGTGAGAGGGTCTGTAATCTAAACCTAACTTGGGCCCATCGAAGGACTGCTGAGCAGGTGGAATACGTTTCCAGGAGTGAGAAGGTACCAAATGACCACATCCTAGCTTGAACCTGGAAAAGAGAGGAAAAGAAGCTCACTCTAGGTGATCCTGCTCTGGCAGGGGGGTTGGACTAGATGATCTTTTGAGGTCCCTTCTAGCTCCTAATATTCCGTGATTCTGTGATAAGAATCTGAATGGGTGCTGGAAGGAGGCATTACTTTTACAAAAAGAAAGCAGAAAGATTTCTGACGGAGAGAGGGTGAACATAAAGAAACAAAAGGAAAGACAATAAAATCATATACCCTCAGGCTGCAGACTGGGAGAATCTGGAAGACCAGGTGGGAAGGACAGTGGGCATTGTGTCAGAGTACATTCAAAGTAAAGCTGGGAGCCTTTAAGTCCAGTTAAAATTCCTTTTTCCCTAGGAATAAGAAAAGTAAGTCCCTACAGATTTTCTCCTTCTGATGTGTGCAACTGGAGCACTGGAAATCCATTCCAAAGTACAGACAGTCACTTAACATTTAGTGCTTTGTTTTTCAAATATTATGGGCTTTTTTATTCCAAAAAGCTCTTCTGCTTGTCGTGGTTCATGCACCATGGCCAGGGGTCAGGGTCC